TATGTAATTCTCAGGCAGAATCAGAGTCTAATTAGCGACTTGCCCACATCCCTAAAACATGTCAGTGGCACAGCCCGAAGCTGCTGGCTTTCACATTTGTCACTTGAGACACTCTCCCTTCTGAAAAAATAAAATACTATACATTGGTGCTGCGACATGCACAAACATGTATTTTTCTTTTCATAAATCTGTCGATACCTTTACTATCTGCAAAGGGAAGGCACTTCCCTGTTAGTGCCTACCTTGTGTAGCAGAGCCATAGCAAGATTCTCACATTCTTCTACTTTTATGCATAAAAGTTACAGGTTCTTTTACTCATTTATGTGAAAAAGGACTGATTATTCATATGATGACATCAAATGCTATATTAAGGGGCACAGTCATCTTTTTTTTTTAGATTCAGCTTTCAGGACCTCCTTTAAAACTGGGATAATCCTATGGTATGTACTAAAATATATGTATTCTCTTTTCCCTCTTTTTAAAAATAAAGTCCAGAATGCTTTTGCCTAGACATACTTTTAATATACTATATAGCTAGCCATTGTTTTGATGACACGTAAAGTAAAGCAAGACATCTGAACCTGGAAGCAGTCCCTCTTGCACCAGTATAAACCTGGAGTACCTCCACTGAAGCCCATGGAGTTTCCAGCGGTGTAAAAGCAGGCGCAGTGAAGTTAGGATAAGGACTTCCATCCTCCTGACCATCTGTGGCTGCCCTATGCCAGCAACACTAACAAACTTCTTTTTTTTAGAGTGCCAACGGCACGTTTGTTAGCAAATCCTGTGAGCTACGCACATACCTGATCACATCACTGATGACTTCATCATTCATTATGCTAGTGTTACACATAGATGTAAAAAACAGGCAGCTCTTTTGACTTCTGCAGAATTAGAGAAAAAGGAAAAAAATAAAACACAGTATCTTCCAAACGACAGAGTACATGCAGAGGAGTTAAAGGCCACACAAATACAGCACAAATGCAGCTTTAGAAAAACAAAGTATTTGCCAGGATAGAAAGGACAAAATAGGTATGGGAACAGATAATATATTGAGGGCTAATACATACAAAAGGAAAAAAAAATCAGGCAAAAAAGTAGTTATGTCAATCATTTGCCATAAATGGTCTCTTTCCAATAACTCATGGAAAAAATATAAGTGAAGAGTTTGAAAGCCTTGCAGGAATTTTCATGTTGTAAAATGACCCTCCCCTCAAAAAATCGTAACCGGAAATTTGTCTGATTATATAGAGTTCCTACATGGCTCTATTTTTAAACATCTGTAATTCAGCAGACTTTGACCATTTTTATCTGTGTAGCACATTTTACTGTTTAATGTCTTCCTATAATAAAAAAAATAACCCATACATATTTAAAAATAGATACCATTCTGCTTTCACCCTTTTTTTGGGGGAGGAAGGGAAGGCAGGTAATTTTCCCCTTGTGTTTTGAACAGAACCATAACTATCAGCACTCCTTTGCTTTCATTCTCTTTTGCATATCATGTTTTCTCTCAGCAAGGCTGCGAGAAAACAAACCTATTGTTTTTGAGTCACGAGAGGAAACTCGTACCTTCTTTGGCTAGGTCTTATAAAACAGTATCTTCATAACAAGGCCACTGAAAGATGATTAATACAGATTTTTCTCTCTTATTTCTCTTTTTTCTGTTTTAAATGCAGCAGGCATTCATCACCGGATTATAACAGCTTGAAGGTTACTCAAACATACAGCTTTTTTGCAGGAGATACTTAATCACATGCCTAACCTTAAGAATGTAAATACTTTCATTTAAATCAACGTGAAAAAATAATTTGGTTAAAATTAAACATGCTTTGATAAATTAGGGTCTTGGAAAAAAAGAAGAAACAAAGCCATGGGTTTAAACGTACAGGTTATGTCATTTGGAATGAACGGATGCGAGTTGTCAATTTTTTTCTTTTTTTTTTTGTATTTTAGAATTTGGACTGCTCCTGATAAATTTGTTCCCAAATTTTATCATGCAGTGTATCACGAATATTAGGCAGATGTTTAAACAACATGAAAAGGAGGCTTTTTTAGTAGACAGTACATGGTAAGTGTTCAGAAAGCAGTCAATTTGAAACAGTAGTCCTTCCAAAGGCTGTTTTCCCCCCTCCAAAATGTTTTTTTTTTGTTCTACTGTCTTGCGAGAAATGCTCTTAGGATTTATTTTCATTGGAAAAGAGACTTTAATAATTCTACCCCTTTGCACTGTTAATATATATTAGAATAGCATTTGAATATAAGGTGTCGGCCGTATTCCGATTTTCAGATGCGACGATTAGAAGTCATTGACACCAATCTACCACAAGTGACCTTAGTCTCATACCTTGCTCTGTTATTAGAATAATCAAGGAACGCAATTCAGAAATAATATTACATCCTGCATTTTATTCAATTCCATATGACAAAAATAGTAACCTAGACTAAGACATCCATTTCAATCAGTAGATGTGTCAAGCCAACAAGATTTAATAATAAAAAATATTGGATCTAGGTAACAATTCCCAGCTGGTTCAGGGAGGCTCCTAGCCCTACATGGTATCGCAGTATAAAAATAGTGTCTCTCTTCACCATGCAGAGAGGAATGACCTAACCCTGAATACAAAATGGGGTCAGTCTTACTGTACCATCATCAACCATCTTATTTACAACACTTTACATCTTTTTTTCTTTTTTTCCTTTTTCATTTTTTCTTCTCTTTTTTTGTCTTTCTTTTTTTAAGTTATACACATCCTTTAGGGAATAGAGATAACACTACATGGTACCAAATACTAACAAAAAAAGAAAGTCACACCAAAAATGACACAGATAAATAAAAACATTCAATTGCTGAAATACAGCAACATTAAGCCACCTCAGTTTTCTTTTTTTCAATGCTTGGAAACACCCCTAACCACCCACACACTGTGGCAAAAAAGATGTTATATTGTAGAGGTGTTACAGATATATAATTTTGCTTATATATAGATATATATATCTATATATCTCTATCACATCACTGTAGAAAATGGAGCTGTAGAGCTCGTTGTTCATTTCCAATAGAAACAAACAGCTAATAAGTCTTTGAACCTCTTTTCACTCCATTACATGATGGCAGAAATAGTCCATCCTCTTACAGTAATGGTTTTTGTTGTATAAGAAAGATTGTCCTATTTTTCAGTCTCAACTGAGAAGACCTCACTGTCTGATTCGTTCTTCAGGGGCATAAAACTCCTTGCGCTGTTACCCAGCTACCCATAATGTCCCTCAAGCAATTCTGCTGGACAGAAGTTCATAGTGTCAACTCCACCATGCTTGTAATGCACAAAAATGAGGTAGTACACAAAACGTTTACTGTTCAAGTTTTGATTAAGCCCCAGTCTCCTCAGCATCCCCAGCCTAGCTTATGAGTGGAACCATTCCCTTTACTTACTCGGTGTAATTTAAACAATGCAATCAACATAAAATTATATTCGATTAATCAGAGTACATTGTGCTTTGGAGCAATCTGAGAAGATAATCAGCAGGTTGGAAATAAATACAGAATATTTGTATGTTACTACTGCTCACGCTGCCCAAAAGTTACTATTTTGTTCCCGTGTTATTAGGCAGTTGACATCTTTCTCATGGGTATGTGTGAAAGAGACAGAACAGATTACAGTAAAATTAAACCTACACAATGTTCTCCTTCCTCTATCCTAGGCTTGTATTAATATTACACTCCTAAGATAAATGTATCAGAATTCTGTCGGGGGTGGTCACGCTTTTAAGTGGGCTTTGTAGAAAAGTTAAATGAATCATTTCCATTTAAGAAATGGCAGGCCCCATATTTCCTAAGGATCTGACAGTTCTCTGCGGCTTTTCTGCTTAGTTAATAGAGATCTCTCATTGTTTGACCTTAAAACAAAACAAGAAACTGCAACAGCGTTCTCCTCCTCATTCCTTAAGTCAAAGTACTATTTATAAAATAGTTTACATCTTTGTTCAGTTTCAAATTATAGACAAACCTCCCTAATACAAAATACTAAAAGTGCAATAGTATAAATTAAGAGTTTGCAACCACATTATACAAACATTACCTTTTTATTGTACAGCTTTGATAACATGGAGTATTTACTCACAACTGTTTATAATGTTGTGAATAATTTATGGTGCTAAGGTTTGTCTGTAACTTGTTTTCCAATCATTGAGCTAAAGTCCACACTACATTTTTTTTTCATTTAATAGAACAACTGTCCACATAGCAGCTACAAATATTTAAATAAAAAAAGGTTTGTTACTGACAGGTACTTGCACATGAAAAGCATGCTATCTTTCCCAATAAAACTTCACAATTTTGCCTGCATTGAAATAAACCACTTATTTATAGTAAAACAAAACTCGCTTTAAAAAAAAAAAAAAAGAAAAATCACATAGCCAGATGTATTTTGCAGTACAAAAGCTTCATTTAAGTTTGGGGCTAGTATATTGTCTGTTACCCGCATAATCTTAACATTATAAATACTACAGACAAGGATACTGTAATAATACACAGCATTGGGGTACTAAATCACTTATTTAAGATTAAGATTCCTAAAAACATAGTCCAAGTTGCTAACTAATTTGAACAAAACCAGCAAATAAGTGTGACAGAATGCCGCAATGAAGCCCCCCTTTCTCAGGTGATAGTAAGTTTTGTAAGAAGCAAAGTGGACGTAGACTAGCCTCTTTCTGTTTCTAATGAAGTTATCCCATGATTTGTTTGTTTGTTTGTTTTCTGTTAAATTAAAAGGTTTCAAAGTTCTCAGTAACAGTCAAACTCACTGTTGAAAGAAGTACCATGCAGATCTTGCAAGACAACTTTTCAGCAGCCACAAAGTTATGTATTTCTGCTATGGGTAAAACTTTAAAGGGAACCTATGCATTTAGGTCAGGAAACTAATGCTTAGCTTCAAAAGCTGTACATGGAACAGGACAAGTGTTGTGTTGAGTAGCAGTCCAACAGTTATTCGGAATGAATGCTTTTAATTTATGCCAATCTCTTTATTATCCTCAATAAATCTGGTGAATGGACGACTGGCTCCCGTTTCAGAACTTGCTTTGTCCAGACCGACAATGGGAGGGCTGCTGCCCGTGCGAGCTTTGTCCATGCCACCGGTAAGGTTACTCAGAGGCGGGATGGCGCCTCCGCCTAGACTTACTGGGAGCTGGGGAATGCCTCCGTTCTGTATGACAGAAATCTCATTGTTCTTCATAGCAAGTCCGTTAGTGATAGCTGCAGCGTATTGGTTCCAAAAATTGGGGTCAACGTTCATGGCCCGAGCTGCCAAATCCTTCTGGAACATCTCGGAGAACTTGAGCGCGTCGCCACCGAGCAGAGCCATGGGGTTTTCCACGGAGAGGCGGCGGCCGCGGCGTGCAGGGGCGTTATTCCACATGTGAGTTCCCATGTGGACCTGCGGAGCAAGCGGGGACAAGAAGCACCCCCAAGTTAGCACGTTCTGGTGAGGTGGCTGGCCTGAAATGCTGTTACTTACAGTATCGCTTACTTTTTAAAAACATGCCTTTTAATTTGCATTGAAAACAAATCAATTCCAGTTAAGACACAGTTCTAAGGCCCAGTCAACATATACAAAGAAAACCCAGCTCCACAGTAATTTTTCAATGTGCATTTGTTTCTTCTCAGTGAAAACAAATGCAGTGCCGCAAGAATAAAGAGTACATATCCTCTTAGGTTAGACAATTTCACATGCAAGCTGCAAGTCCTCACATACTGAAGATTACCAAGGGCATTACTTGTACTAGGATATGGGCGTTTTCTTCTGCCATTCCCCTTTTTACATCTTGTCTATTTTCATCATATTTTATCTCATGTCAGAGGTATCGATTATTTTGCTAAATTTAATATTTTAAAAACGGACATTTAAAAATGTATTCCCCAGGCTGTGTCCTGATGGTTAACCAGACTGTGGGAATAAGAGGTGTCAGTCCTGTAGTAACCCACTGTAAATCAGTGGGAAACAGCTTTCCAGTCTGCAATGGCTGCAAAGCAGAATAGGAAATGGAAATTTGAGAGGTGCCCAAGAAGCTGAGCAAGTTCCATGTTTCTGGTTTATAGTGAGGTTATTTTGCACTCATGGTCCACAAGAACTGCCAGAACACGTCCATCAGCTGACCGTGTGTGCCATCACGTCTGTCAGGAGAACTACAACCTGCATGCACGTACACCCAGAACCATTTTTAAAGTTTGCATCACTGCACAGCTGTTTTCCAGTCCCTATCTTCAACATAGTGGAAGCATAACAACCACCACCGTACAGCAAGCATTTCCTTGAAGCTCCCTTCTCTCCCGTCTTTGGGACAAACACTTAGCACTAAAACCTGCTGAGTTCAAGCACAGTGCCTTAAACCCCCGCCCCGAGCCTTTACAGTTTTATTTGGCCTCTTACCTTAAGATTCCCCTTTGTGGTAAAAGCTCTACCACAGATTGTGCAACCAAACGGTTTTTCACCGGTATGGGTGCGCTCGTGTATCTGCAGTGCACTTGCTGAGGAGAAGGTCTTCCCACATGACTGACAGTTGTGCTGCTTGGGAGTCCGGCGAGGGGGGGGTGCCAGCATAGGGGTGATCCCCGGACTCATCACTGTCTGTGGTGCAGCAGGAACCTGGATTCCAGCTGGAAGCGAGGGAACCTCACCCAAAGAGATCGGCTTGCTGTGACCATTCACTTCCATTTTGATCATGGTAGGCGCTGTACTGGTGACCAGGCTAGGAGTACTTTGGCTGGGACCTAGAGTAAAGTTGGGTTCAAATAACTGAGAAGGCAGCTCTTTTAATTTGTGCGTCAGTAAGTGCTGTTTTAAATTACCCATAGTGGAACACCCACGACTGCAGACTGTACAAACAAATGGACGTTCTTTAGTATGGCTGCGGTAGTGAATTTCCAATGCACTCTTACAAGCAAAAGGCTTGCCACAGATATTACAAACAGTACTTTTAAACTTACCACGTTCTCTGTTCAGGAACAGCAGACTAAAAGGAGCCTCCTCTTTGATGACCGGTCTTCCCGGGTTGGTGGATGTCAGATCTAATGCGCCTCCATTTTCAGTTGCGGGTGGTGGACTGTCTGGTTTTTCTGTCTTTAATTGTATTTCTTGTGGCTCTTCCTGGTTACTGAGCCCTGGGGACTTTGATCTGAAACTTTCACTATTGCTATTTACAGGAGACAAAGCTTGCATGGAGGAAGAAGACTCTGACATTGCAGGGCTGCCTGCACTCTGGCTTTCGAGATCACCAACGGCTGATGAGGAGTCATTGCTCAAATGGTCACTTTCCCCTGATCCATTTTCTATAGATTTTAAACTGGTCAGCTGCTGACAGTTCATGACAGAATCAATCATTTTCATTTGATTCTCCAAAGCAGCAATACTGGAGATCACAGAA